TCTCAAATTCAGCAATAAAAATCATGATTTTTGTTGTTCTGCTTGTTGTATGGGTAAATCACATAGACTGCACTCACCTGCCTCACACACCACTTATTCTCACCCTTTAGAACTTGTGTACTGTGATCTGTGGGGCCTTTTCCTCAACCATTGGCACAAGGTTTTACATACTACATCTCCTTTATAGATGCATTTTCCAAGTTCACATGGTTGTATTTACTTAAGTCTAAAGCTGAAGCACTTAGTGTCTTCAAGTAGTTTAACTCTCTTGTGGAACTGCAACTTAGATTTCCCATCAAAGTTGTTCAGTCAGATTGGAGTGGGGAATTTCGTCCCTTCAACAAATTTCTATCTGACCTTGGCATTATGCAAAGGGTTATCTGCCCTCATACTCACCATCAAAATGGAGTGGTGGAAAGGAAGCATAGGCACATTGTGGATCTAGGCTTGACTCTTTTAAGTCAAGCTTCCTTACCATTAACATATTGGGATTATGCCTTCACCACTGTTGTTTTTCTCATAAAAAGACTTCCCTCCTTAGTTATTCAATTCCAGGTTCCCTATACTCTTATGTTTCACATTGTACCTGACTACAAGTTCTTGAAGGTGTTTGGTTGTACCTGTTTTCCACTTATGAGACCTTCTCATGCACGCGAGCTGGAATTCAGGTCTCAAGAATGCCTGTTTTTGGGTTATTCCAATTCTCACAAGGGCTATAAATGTATTTCCCATAGTGGCAAGCTTTATATATCCAAGGATGTTTTGTTTCATGAATCTAGGTTTCCCTACCTTGAGCTGTTTTCTTTATCTACTTCTCATACCCTTAATGTCCATAAACCTGCCAACCAGACTCCATCATCATCCATATCCTCCCTTTTTTCCAATATCTCTCTTCCTAAGCCTATGCCTTTAACAGTTGTTCCTTTCTCTTCTACTAACTTGCCTGCCTTTGCCATCTCCTCAAATTCCTCTTCTTCTACAAGTCAGGCAGGAGGCATCTCCCCCTCTCTTACTGAACCTGAGACCAATATTCCTTCTACTTCTCAACTGTCATCTATGGCTTCTCTCTCAAAACCTCCAAAGTCACTCCTACACCATTCTGCCTTCTTGCTAATGTTGTACCAGTTAGCTCTAAACCTGTCAACCAACACTCAATGATAACGAGAGCTAAAACTAGATTTGTGCAACCAAAGGTGTTACTCACTCATACAGAACCCAAAACTTTGAAAGAAGCTCTTGCAGATGCTAAGTGGAAAGAGGCTATGCAGTATGAATTTGATGCCTTAAGTAGAAATAACACATGGACCCTTGTGCCTCTTTCTCCTAATAGGCGGACTATAGGCTACAAGTGGGTATTTCGCATCAAGGAGAACCTTGATGGCTCAATCATCAGGTACAAGGCACGCCTTGTAGCAAAAGCGTTTCATCAGAAGCAAGGGTGTGCAAACTGCACAAAGCCCTTTATGGCTTGAAGCAGGCTCCTAGGCAGTGGTTTGAAAGATTGCAAGAGGCTCTTCTTAGACTGCATTTCAAACCCAACAAATGTGATCCTTCCTTGTTCATCTTTGCTTCAAATGGTAACATTGCTTATGTACTTGTGTATGTGGATGACATCATCATCACCAACAATAACACTGCGCTACTTCAGTCTATTATTCATAAACTTAATTATGACTTTTCCCTAAAACACCTGGGAGATTTGGACTATTTTCTTGGGATTGAAGTAAAACCTGCTGCTCGGGGATCCTTGCTACTCACTCAAACTAAGTATGTTAGGGATTTATTGCACAGAACTCACATGGTTTATTCTTCCCCTGTTGCCACTCCTATGCAGTCCTTCTGCAAGCCAACTAAACTTAGCTCCCCTGCTCTTGTTGATCCATACTTGTACAGGTCTATGGTTGGGGCTCTGTAATATGCAACCATTACAAGACCTGACATTGCCTATGATGTCAATAAAGTTTGTCAGTTCACGTCTCACCCTCTGGAAACACATTGGGTTACTGTCAAAAGAATACTCAGATATCTCAAAGGCACTATCCAGCATGGTCTTTATCTGTCTCCTCATATTCCATCTGAAGTTCCTTCCCTTCAAGTTTTTGAGGTGTTGATTGGGCTTCAGACCCTGATGATAGGCGCAGTACATCTGGTGCAGCCATCTATTTTGGAGGAAATTTAGTATCCTGGTGGTCCAAGAAGCAACCTGTGGTTGCTAGGTCCAGCACAGAAGCAGAATATAGAAGTCTAGCTCAGGCCACAACTGACCTTCTCTGGATTTAAACCTTATTAGTTGAACTCTGTGTTCCTGCTAAATAGCATGTGGTTTTGTGTGACAACTAATTTGTAGTGATGCTGGCTCACAATCTCATTATGCACTCCAGGACAAAACATATGGAAATTAACCTCTTCTTTGTGAGAGAAAGAGTTCTTGTCAAGAAAATCTGAGTTGCTCATATTTCTAGTGTGGATGAGATTATTGATGTGCTTACTAAACCTCTTTCTTCTACAAAATTTCTGGATTTCAGGCACAAACTCAGGATTGCTTCAAGCAATTCCCTGTGAGTTTTTGAGGGGGGAGGGGTATTAAAGTAAGATCAAAAGATAAAAGTATCAATTCTGTATTGGCTTTGCATATGACTGACATTTGTCAAGTCTAGTGTAGCAGCTAACCTGCTATAGCAGGTCACACAAGTTGCCTCTATAAATACAATTGTGTACCACTTCTGTAACTAACTTTTAGATACAATAACATAAATGAAAAATTCTTTTATGCTTTCTATTCTCTTTATCACTGTCTTTATTTTTTTTAGGATTTCTTTATTTTTATACATCTGTGCATATGGCACCGATAATTAGGATAAATATTTAATTTTAATAAAGTGAAATTTATGATTAAAATAATTTATTAATTAATAATTTTTTACATGATTAATTAATTATCAATAGTTTTAATAACATTTATTTACAAATGTTTTTACTATTAATTAACTTAAATTTTAAAAAACATTTTTCAGGTCAAAGTCATTTAGCATTGTTCTAATTAGAGCTGTTAAAATGGACTATCCGACCTTAAATTGGTCAGTTTTAACGGATTTGGATAAAAAAGCTCTATTATAATATGGATCTGAAAATTTCTACTCGATCCTAGCCTTATATGGACGACGGCCCACCTGGTCCAAAATAGATTTTTTTGATAAAAACTTAAAATAAAAAATCATAATATTTATTATAAATAAAATAAAAAATTATATTATTTCAAACCATAATACATTTTTAATTATTATATTATCTTTTATAAATATTGTAATATATTTTTAAATATAATACATATATGAATTGTAGTAAATAATACTAAAATATTTAACATAAGAGAAACTAATAGAATACTATGAAATAATGTTAATTATATTGTTGTATAATATTTAAAGAAAAAGATTGAATAGAATAGAAATAAAATTTAATAAAATAACAAAAATCAATATATTATTATGGAGTAATTTAATACAAAAATTAATATTATTTTTTAAAATTTATAACCATATAGATATAATAGACTTTAATTTGAAAGTCCAAGTCCTATAATTTTCCAGACCAAACAAATACATATGGATTAACCCATTTTAACAACACTAATTCTAATCCATAAAAATACATTCCAGTAGGTAAATGTGAACTATATAAAGGGGGCGTTTGTTTTAAGGTGTGAAAATTTATTCCTTGGAATTACATCCAAAGAAAATAAATGTAAGAAATTTATTTCAAGGTATTCTTCTTAAATATTGTTTGGCAAAAATTTTATTATTCTCAGGAATATTGTAATTTTTATTAATTTATTTTAAAAACGTATATAAGATTTCATGAGAGATCACTTTTTAATCCTTTAACATGGAAATAATTCTATAGAAATAAGAGAAGTTATAAGAAGTTATTTTGTTCCTTGAAATTATTATATTTAAGAATATTTTTTTCCAACCTTATAACAAACATGAATTTCCTCACTTTTTACTTATGTATTCCCATAAAACAGAAATATAATTTCTAAACTTGAAACAAGCACACTCAAGAACTAATAATAATTAAAAACAAAGCGATGTGAGACTCTAATATAAATATAAATTATAGCAAACCAATACATATATAATAAAAGTACACATTCATTCCATCCTTCCCCTATTAAGGGATGCAAGCTAGAATCGGCAGAACCAGTCAAACTCATTCAAACCGATTCGAAAAGTGAGTTTAAACGGGTAAATGAGTCAATATAGTTTTTGAAAATAAAAAATTATTTAAAATAATTGAATTTCGAGTAAATTCAAATTCACTCAACCTATAAATTTTACCATTAACTACTATTTTTTTAGGTCTCTTATTGAATTGATTTATAAATTAATATTTATATTTTTATCATTGGAATTTGGTTGAAGATATTAACGCTGAAGTTAAAACTTCGTTTTGAATAGTGGAGGGTATTTGAAAAAAGTTTTTGACTCCTTTTTGTAATTTAATAAATGATGATTTTGATGTATTTATATTTGATTGATTCAATTTTAGATTTTTATTTTGTGAGTCACGATTTTAATTTATCATTTTAATTGGGCCATTTTCTGAAAAAAGAATGTCACAAAAAATAAAATAAAAATTATTTGATCTTTTACCTAACTCAATCTAATCCACTAATTCAGCGCGGAGGGAGTATGAATATAAGTAAATTATTAGGATTAATAGTACCAAATCTATACATGATTAACTAATTACTAACTATTACTATAATCAACTAGACATGTGCACCTTACACAAAGTCTTGAAATGGAAAAACAAAGTAAGTATATTTAAAAACTAAAAACCTCCTACTCCAACCCAACAAAACAAAAGATGATGGATCAAATTCATACAAAACATCGAAGACCCACCAAATCACGTTTTAAGCCCCATAATATGATAGACCGGACCCCACTATTTTCCATATTTTCAAAATGACCAAATCACCCTCAGAACACCTATCATTGACGAAAAACATCAAACATCCTACGCGCAGGAGCAGCAGCAGAAGCCCACGGGCTCATATGTACAGCCCGATGATGGGCTTGGGCTTGGGCTTGAGCGATGGTATCAACACCAGAAGAAGGAACAGCCACGCGCTCACAAGAAGGGCACATAGTAAGAGTAGTTGGTGGAGTCATTTGCATATAAAATTGAGGGGAAAGTTTCAGTGCTCTCAGCTCTTGAACTTCCTTATGTAGTCTTCTATTTTCATCCGTTAGATTTTCGCAACACCGTTTCAACACCTCACAATCAACCTCCGTTTGCTTCAGCTTTGTCCTGTAATGTAACATCAAATAACCAAAAAAAGGTTCAAAAAAAAATTAAAATTAGATTTATTGCTTATTTAAATTAGTTTTTGGTAATTAATAAAATAAAAAAACTAACCTAGCTCTTCTATTTTGAAACCAGACTTCAACTTGTCTTGGACGAAGGCCAAGTTGCTTTGCAAGTGCCAACTTTTGCTTCTACAAAAAAAAAAAAATTACAAAACAAAATTAGTCACAAAAAAAAAAATAAATAAAAAATAAAAGAGATTAACTAGTATTAAGGTGGATTAATTACGGGATTAAGGGTATTGTGTTGATTGAAAGTTTCTTCGAGAATAGCTGATTGGTTTTTTGAGAGTCTGAGTTTTTTTCTAGCGGTTTCAGCGTCTTCGTCGTCACTGATATTTCCTCCTTCTCTCTCGCTTCGTTTTCCACTGACGCTTGAAACAGTGCTGTTCGGAGATGAAACTCCTGTTTCTTCTTCTTCTTCTTCGTGTTCGGCAACGGTTGATGGTAGGCGATTGACGTCGATTCCTCGTACTGTACGTAGAAAAGTTTATGAGGATATTGAAGTGTTTTGAATATTGAACTAGATCTGAGAATGGGAGAATACATACCTGAGGAAGAGATGAGATTGAGAGGGTGAGGTTTGTGAAAGAAGTTCAAGCCTAGACTCAAAGCCAAATCTTCCTTTTCAACCATTGTGAAGAAAGTGAGAATGTGAATGAGAATGAGAAAGAGGGTAAGGTGGTTTTGGTTTGGGAGTGGAAGGAAGCGTGTGAGAGGGGAATAAATAGAAAGAGGAAGGAAATGGGGTGGGAGAGAGTTTGTTCAATCATGACTTTGTGTCAGTAAGGGCAAGTTATATCAATCATGGCATTTGCCCTTCAAATAATGCACATTTGTTTCTCTGTCTGTCCCCTCCCCTCATTTACTACTCCACTTTTTTATCTTTGACCATTTGGTGAAATAAAAAGTGTTTCTTTTTCAAATAGGTGAACACAAATAATAAGCCGGATGTTGATAAGAATAATGATACAAACACCTTTATTACCTCTATTTTAACACACTTTTATATTGGTTAGTTACCAAATTTTGTTGATTTTATCTTTTTTTGAGTCTCGTTTTTGTGGAAAAAATTTGTTTGAGTCGATTTCAAATTTCAAAATAATAATAATAAAAAAAAGTATATTGAAATGATTAAAAATTAGGAATATTATAAATAAAATAAAAATCATAATTTAAGAAGTAACAATAATTTTTAGCTTTTTTTATATATATAAAAAATTAAAAAGTAACGATTAAAAAGAAACAGAAAAAATATAAATGATGTTAGATTCATATAAATAGTGAGTTGGAATGTTTGTTAAAAAATTACTATTACTGGATGTTTTTGTCTTGATAAATATCATCTACTATTTATTTTTTATATAAATATTTATATTAATATCATCTTTAATTTTGTATTGAAAATTTGAAAATTTCATTTATAGATAATTAAGCATCAAAAATGGAATCCATATTTTTGAAATGTGTGTTTCATTGTTGTTTTCTATCTAAATTAAGGGATTTGTTCCCTACCAAATGTCCAATTCCATCTTGATAGTCGAAAACAAAAAGATTATAGTTGAAAACAAAAAGATTAAAGGAGTGGGTTTTTTTTAAATTCACTTTTATGTTATTTAAATCTTAATTGGTTCAATGGTGATATAAACTATTTATGTATTGTTATATAAATTTAATTATTTATCATCTTCTTCTTGAATACACAGTTGCAACATGTTTTTTATCATCGTATATTGGTCCTTCTTAGACGCTTCCCTCTCGTCAATGTTCTTTAAGATTGTTGAGCATGTTAAGCAACAACAAACATTTGCATAAGCAAGAAATAATGTTTGCAACATTTCACTCAGTCAACTACAACCACCATGTGTGAAGGATAATATTTGTCATTTCACTCAGTCAGCTACAACCACCATGTGTGAAGGGTGACAGGCTAACAATTATGATTTCAAAAGAAGAATATATCTTAGGAGTTCAAGCCTCCAAGCATAACTTGCATGATTGAGTGGTGTGGTCCAAAGGTTCATCTCCACTCATAATTGTTGCCTAAAAAGCCAAACTCATGGAGTTATAAATCTATAGGTAAATATGGTATCATATCTCTAGGGATATGTTGCTTTGAATTCTCATCATTTTCCTCTACGGAGGATATTAGAAGAGTTAGGTTGATAAACACATGGAACGTCAATCCTGGATTCCTTAAGCTCTTTCTTTGGAGAAAATATTTCAATCCAAGCTATATGAAGCATACTTTCGTTCAAGTTTGAGTGAGAAATACATGGTTTATCTCAAGAGTACTTGAGACCTATGATTTGTATTTTCCATTGAAAGCAGCATTGAAACTCCTCTTTACTCAGATTTGCCAACTAGCGTAGGATGCTTTAAAAGGCCACTTGGTCATTTTATGATAGCCCTTGTGGTCATGGAGCATACTTAGGAGTTGATAAACAAGGTGTTTGTTGAAAGGTAAGGATATGTTTTTTTTGTAGAATTAGAGTATGAGAATCTTCCACATTTTTGTTCCATGTGCAACATGGTAAATTGGACTTAGTTTTGAAACTTGCAAGAGAAGGAAGTTAGAGAACATCCCACATTTGGAGAATGATAGGAAAAATAAATAACCTAAAAAGGTTTACAAACAAGTGGATAACATGACCCTTAACCAAGGTGAAGTGCACATTGGGAAAGGTAAAGATGATGTGGTTATGGAAGATGTCCAATGTGAGGCCGAGGCTAGGGTAGTTTCTCATGTGGGAGAACCAAGTGGTACCAACGCAAATGCTAGCAACATTAAAACTGAGGAGCTGGAGATGATCATATAAACTCAAATGATCAATAAATTAGTAAGCCAACAACAAAAAGAACCTTGAGACAAAAACACAAATTATGGAGGAATCATAGAAAATTTTGATTGCTCTATTGACTTTGAGTTTTTGATGCAACAAATTTGGAACTTGAAGACTTGCCACCTAATAAGGTTAGGATGACAACATATGTGTATAAGGACATAGAGTTTTTGAGCAACTCTTGGAAAAACATGGCACACCACATATTAGACGGCAAATCCATAGACACAAATAAATATTTCCAACCAATTAGATCTAAGAGGAGAAAGAAGAATCAAAGAAAAAGTACACGCATAACCAGGGCAAGATTTGGTAAGAACAATTTTTCCTCGTGAAGTGCATTTTTTGGACGTGTGGAATGTTATATAATAGGAAAAGAAAGCAATGATTAAATGAATGCCAAAGATGCCAAGGAACATGCATCTAATCCTAACAGCTCACATCATTCATAGAAGAATCACTACACGTCGCACGTCAAAGATAGGACAACGTTGAAGCAAAGAGCAAACTTGTAGAGAGATTCACGCCCTTGAATACTCGTCATGAGAATATATGACGAGAAGTCCTCCACATGCATTATATAAAGGGTTGTTATCAACTCAAGAAGGAGATAGGGAGTCTGGTCCAATAAGATCACCTAAAGAAATATGTTAAGGGTAACTCTGCTAAAACGCAAAAAAGATCTAGCTCTCAAGGAAAGGATGCTTTTAGAAGCCCCATGTTCAAAGAGGGAAAAGAACCGAGCAGGGGTGATGACAGAGTCGTCCGCCACACCCTTAATACCATTACAAAAGGATTTTTCAAGGGCATAAGGACTAATTGTGCCTGCAGAAGATATGTTTTCCAAATCCTAACACTCGAAGGCTCTCCCACCAACTCATATTTGGGCGAGATGAAAGCCCTAGAATCTAATATTGCTTTTTCAAGAAGGACGTTGTATGCATTCACCTGTATAACATTGAACCCAGGGTCATTATTGTAAATGTGACAATTGGGAGATTAAGAGGGTATAAATTGATCAAGGAAGCTCTGTAGATGTCCTCTATTGAGATGCTTTTTGGAGGTTTTTCTATATGTGGATGTTGTACCCCAATTTTTACCCCTAAGATTCCTCTATCATATCATATCAACTCGATCATAACAAGATCACATTAGGGTTAGTTCTTTCTCTTTTTTCCTATCTTTAAGTTTGCTCTTGAGGAATCTCCAAGCACCTTGGTTGTGTATTTTGTATATGTGTTGTTGACTAACTTCTAATCGAAATACAAAAAATATTTGTCTTTGTCTTTGTATATTTTTTTTTGTAGGTACCAAGTCGAAGCATATGACAAATAAGGATTTCTGGTATTATTTTCCTAAAATCTCTATTTGCAAAGAAAAAGAATTAAAAAAAATTTCATTTTTTTTCACTGTACAATCGATTGCTCCTAGAGTGCAATCGATTGCACAAAGTGAATTTTGCACAATTTTTGGAAAAATACACTGTGCAAATCGATTTGCAATATAGTGTAAATCGATTTGCATAGAGTGAAAATTTGAACAAAATCAGCATTTTAAAATTGTCAAATTTTGGTTCCAATTTTCCTTCATTTTTGAAAGATGTATAATTAATTCAAATTTTAGTACCAATCTTTCATTTTTACAAAGAATTATCATTTATTCAAATTTTGGCTCTAATTTTTGAAAGAATTATCATTAATTCAAATTTTGGCTCTAATTTTTGAAAGAATTCATTAATTCAAATTTTGGCTCCAAGAATCAATTACCAAATTACCACTAATCTCAATCCTAAAACTCTATACATAGAGCCCTCATTTCATTCAAATTTCAAGCTTTTGATAGCCAAATCCACCTTGCTAAAAAATCTCTCAACTCTCTCCATCTACCAAATTCACTCAAAGTTCCATTTTCAAAAAGTTAGTAAGCTTTGCATTGAAGCTTACTAATCTTTGAGCTAAACCTTCATCCAAACACTTTTTCTCCATCAATTCTCTACATCCAAGCTTGGTCAATTGATTCTTGTGGTTGAATTGAAGCAAATTCTTGAAGTTGTTTTGATAATTCTCTAGATCTACCTTTGGTAAGTTTGGATAATTCATCTTTCACAATGTGATCTCTTGGTGATCTTTGGGATTGATTCTTTGAGCATTATTTTGTGATTCTAATGGTGTTATTTTCTCATAATTTGATGGAATTTTCGTGCTCAAGTGGATCCATGATCATAAGGTGTTTGATGGAAAGTTTGAACAAGCAATTGCCCTTTTAAAATGCTATTTTTGCTACTGCTTCTGTGTGCAATCGATTTACATAGTAGTGTAAATCGATTTACACAGCACAATTTTGCACGAATTTTTGAAAATTATACTGTGTAAATCGATTTACATAGTAGTGTAAATCGATTTACACCAGAACAGAATGTATTTTTTGCCTTGTTTTGGGGCAGCTTTGATCCAAAATGCTTTTTCTACTCACTCCTTTTGATTGTTGGTTTGGATTGCAATTTTAAATGTCCAATTTGTCTTTAAACTCAATGGACTTTGTGATGTAGATGAAGTTGGATAAATGTTCATCAATTCAAATCTACCTAAGAGTGAATTATTTAATTCATTTTTGGTGCTTTGGATTAATGATATGTTTAGTGCTTTAATCCATCTAGAGGAGTAGTTGAATTTAAAGATGAAAGAATTTTGAAATGGTGATCCAAACTAGCTTATCATTTCCCTCCCTCTTCATCTTATCCCTTTCTTTTTTTAATTGTGCTACATGTTAAGGGATGGTGATCTCTATATCATT